CACCTTGGAGAAGGGTTTTTGTTTTTTGTTTTTTGGTTTTTTTTTTTGAGGCAGTTGGGGTTAAGTGACTTGCCCAGAGTCACGCAGTTAAGTGAGTGTTATGTGTTTGAGGCTGGATTTGAACTCAGGTCTTCCTGACTTCAGGGCCAGTGTTCTATCCACTGTGCCACCTAGCTGCCTCCCAAGAAAGGTATTTTCAAAATCACCTGTTATGGTTTACAACCTGGGAGAGAGAGTGTCTCTACTAAAAGAAAAGGTGTTCATTGTTGCAGAGTATGCATATTATTTGCCTGCATTATAACTTTACATTCCTGGGTCTTAACTAAGCTTCTCATTCCTTGTCGATGTATTGGTTTAGGTTGCTGATTACATCCCTCAACTGGCCAAGTTCAGTCCAGATTTGTGGGGAGTGTCAGTGTGTACAGTGGATGGACAGAGGTGAGTTCATTTTTAAATAAATCATTTCTTTGTAAATGTCTAAAAATATTTTGAAAGTTTATAATTTTTTGCAATATTTGTTATTTGGATGGTGAAATGATGGCTTCTGAAAATCTTACTTCAGCATAGCTTTTGATATAGGATACCTTAAAAGTATGTGGGTGTTCAATTGCAAAAAAGGAAAAGTGCTTTCTGACTGAATTTCTCAAAAGTGTGGTTACCAGTATATGTGCATTTGGACACTGAAAATGAAATCTTTAATCCTGATAATTTTGTTACAAGTAACTTTTCCTTCTGATTCAGAAGCAAAAAAGTAGTCCTGTTTCTTTACAAGATATTTGCATAAATATAGCTTGGGGCTGGCTATATGTTTTAATTTGTTGTTAGAAAGTAAATCTTATATGTTTGAATACATGTGTGTATATATATGCATTCTGATCATTCTAATTTTATGTTTGTATTTGTGGAGTAAAACCAATATTTTATGTAGTCATTATTTTTATACATGTAAAAAATTGTTCCTTGAACAATTGAAATGTTTTCATTTTCTCTGAAAGCTTCTTAAAAAAACTAATTACATAGGTTATTAAATTAGAAGTATTCTTTCTATCATTGGCTGTTGAGAAAACATGAAAGTAATCTCAGTGATATGTAGTTCATTTTTTAAAAACTAAGTTTTCAAAACTAAATTTTGTGTGACTTAATGGCATAATATGTAGATAAAAAAACCTTTTAAATGCTAGAATAATGAACTAGGTTTCTGCTTCATGAAAAGTAAAATCTTTTGGATATCTCAAATTTCTTTAGTAAAAAACTTAATCTCAAACAGTAAACATACCTTATGTTGGCTTGTATGTATCTTTTTTTTTTTTTAAACCACATATTTTAGAACACCCACCTACACATACATATGTATATATACTCAGACTTTGTTGAGGGTGTCTGATAGAATTTGATGAATCCCTATTCATACTATAAATCATAATATTGGAGAAACTAATGCTTTCATTGGGTATATGTAATGAAAGATTTATTCACTACCAGCCAAACTGAGGATTTCATACATTTTGAGGAAACTTCCTCTGGGAATTCAGGTAATTAAAATCAAGGTCTTGGTATCTGGAGGTTCCTTGTATTCAACTTCGGTGTGAACCTAACAAAATAGGATTTTATTTTAAAAATATGACACCATTGCTTTCATGGAAAAAAAGTACCATTTTTCTAATAGTTCATTCATTGACTAGCAGTCATTTTTTAGTCTCCTAGTTGGTCTTCTTGGATACTGAGCTTAACAGTATTATGTATCTGAATAAGCTTTAGTGAATCAGGGAACACACAGAGAGAATTGTGTTTTCTGCATTGATTTTCTTATTTCAGTAGTTTAGAGCCAAATGTCAGTATAACATTCTACTTACAAATCAATTTCTAGTATTAACCATTGACCTGTACCTTTTTTTTTTCTTTTGCGGGAAGTTTTTTTTTTTTTTTTTTGTGATGTAGAACTTAGAGGACTTTTTAAAAGTTTAGGAGTGGATCTAATAAAATATATAGTGATTTAAAATTCACACAGCAAATCTTGGATAATTTTCCCTCTTGGTGACTGCTTCTCTAGGGATACTTCCAGGAAATCCTCAACCATGCTTCACTTAACCTTCTCTTCTATGATTTCCTGCTTTCTGAACTCATTGCTGAAGTGTTCAACATGCGCTCCTCTCTGCCCTCATCGAGCACCCTTCCCCCCCCCCAATTTCTAGAACCATGAACCCTATGTTGTAACAATTCTATCATTGTTCCTAAATGGAGTATGTCAGTCTACTCTTTCTCCTGGGGCCTCACTCACCATCCCCATAATCTAACAGTCCAGGCCCTTCCCTGGACACAACTTCCTATTGTGTGTTTGTGTTGTTTCTTCCATTAGAAAGTAAGCTCCTTGAGGTCAGTACCTCAAATACACACACACACACACACACACACACACACATACACACATATATATATGTATGTATGTATGTGTGTTCTCTCCCCTAATAGAAGACAAACTTCTTTAGGGTAAGGACTATTTCATTTTTGTCTTTGTATCACTAACGTGGAGTATGGGACCTGTTACATAGATGTTTCATAAATGCTTATTGAGTGAGATTGAAGCAAGAAGCTTCTGAATAGGTTACAAGTCTTTGCTCTCTTTCATTTTTCAATCATGAGCCCTATTCTCCAACAGTTTTTTTTATCATCCTCTCCTGTACCCACCTTCGTATTGAAAGTCTCTATGATATGTTTAGACTTGGTTTGTATGATCTTGTTGAGTTCTTTCTAGGACTTCACTTCTCTTCATTCCCTACAACAGAAGTTGGCACAGAAGTCACAATTATCTACATGGTGGTCTTTTTGTTTATAACATTTGAACACTGCAAATATCTCTTGAAATTATGTTTCTTTGTTGGCTTTGTGCATAGAATGAAATCTACTCTGCCTAGACATGAATTGGCATAGCCATTGTGGAATGCAATTTTAAATCAGTGTAAATTAAATGGCTAAAATGTCCAGACCCTTTGATCCCAAGATTCTGCTGCTAAGCATATACTAAAAGGAGGTCATTGATAAAGATTCCCCATATACACCAGAATATTTATAGCAGCACTTTTTGTGATAACGAAGAACTGGAAACAAAATATATGTACACAGTTATAGAATGGATAAACAAATTGTGGTACATTCATGAGATCTAATATTAATGTGCTTGAAGATATAGCAGATATGATAAATACAGAGAAGTAATGAACTATTGGCATGAGCTGATGAAAAGTGAAGTAAACAGAGTCAAGAAAACAATATACACACTTGACAACAACAACGTAAATATAAAGACAAACCACCGCAAAACAATTGAAAATGAATATTGCAAAGCTGCAAAGAGCAAATATGAGGGGGCAGCTAGGTGGCACAGTGGATAGAGCACCGGCCCTGAAGTCAGGAAGACCCGGGTTCAAATCCGGCCCCAGACCAAATACTTGACACTTACAAGCTGTGTGACCCTGGGCAAGTCACTTAACTCCAATTGCCTAAAAATTAAAAAAAAAAAAAGAATAATTATGAGAAGATTCTTCTCTCCTTCCCCCCTCTCCACCCCACCTTTTCAGAGATGGTACATCCGTGCATATGAAGCATTGGTTATGTTATCAGAATTTTTGAGATATTTATCATTTTTTCTTGATTTTTTTCCCCTCATTTTCAAAAAAGAAAATTGTCATGGAATGATTTTCAGGGAAACGAGTAGGGGAAAAGATACATGGGAAAATTTAGATTGTGTAAAAACAAAACAATAATTATTTGTTTTTTAAAACTGTGAGGTACTATGCAAATGCCTGTTCTTTTTATTTCATATTTTTGGGACTTTGTGTTTATTATTTTTTTCAAAATTAATAATTGAACTTTGGAACAAAATTAAACACTCATAGTATACTTTTTTGTCATAGTTAAAAACTGCTCTTGGTAAAATGACCAGAATTTTTTTACTCTGGGAACTCTTCTCCATTTCATATACCTTCTAGTTTCACAGCATAAACCCCACTCCTACTATTTCCCATGTAAAATGCATGAAGGTAGGTATAGCCAGTCTTGTGTCCTTAATGCAAACTCTAAAGTCATCTGATACTATTTCCTTTCATTGAGTTGGAAAAGGAATAGGTAGATAAAGTTGGAAGTTGTAGTTAAGGAGATAGTTGCTCTTAAGAAAGATTTCTCAGGGGCAGTTAGGTGGCGCAGTGGATAGAGTACCGACCCTGAAGTCAGGAGGACCAGAGTTCAAATCCAGCATCAGACCAAACATGACTTATTAGCTGTGTGACCCTGGCCAAGTCACTTAAGCCCAATTGCCTAAAAAAAATAATAATAATAAGTAAATAAAAATAACAAATAAAAAAAAAGACTTCTCAGAGCTTTATAATTCTTGAGCAGTTGTTTAGTCTTTGCTTCTTTATTCCTCTTCACCTAGGTCATGGTAGTTGATCTAGTTAAGTACTTAAAAAAAAAAGTCTGCCCAAAGGCAAAGTTATTGACTCTTGCTCTATTATATATGATCCAGTTGTGAATCATGGTTCCCTTTCTTGAGTAAATAAGATTTTGCCTATATGGATTGCTTCTGAAAATGAACTTGTTTTTTATAGTTATTCTTTGAGATTCATAATTGTTATAAAAGGAAAATGTGATCTTTTAAATCAAGATTAATATATAAAAATGTAGCAGTTACGCTATTGCATCTTTATTGGTTGCTATTAATTACTTTTTTTATCTGCTTTAACAAAAGGCATTCTATTGGAGATACCAAAGTTCCCTTTTGTCTTCAGTCCTGTGTAAAGCCCTTGAAATATGCCATTGCTGTAAATGACCTTGGAACAGAATACGTGCATCGATATGTTGGAAAAGAGCCTAGTGGATTAAGATTCAATAAACTTTTCCTGAATGAAGACGGTAAGAATCAGAAAACAAAAGATGAGAAATTTCATTTTCCTGCATAATTCCAAATAGTTATTACCTGTCTTTTTAAGGAAGAGTTCAAAGCTATTACACCTTAAAGACATTTGAAGTAATGAGGATAGATTGAAACATTGACTCTTTAAAATAGTAAAAAATGAGCTTTTCTTCATATTGAGTTTGTAAACCATGAAAACCTCCCATTTTTAGTCAGATGTTTTGCTGTCCAGCCATACCTTCCCTAGCTTATACTTGCTCTTACACTTAAAATATCAAACTTCACATGTACAAAGTGAGAGGGGGTTATGAGATACCAGTTCATCTGGGAAATACCTGTTTTTTTGTTGGTCAGCTGTAAGTTGACTATAACTCAACAGCGTATTTAGGGCAATCAAGAAAGCTTTTGCAATCCTAGGTTGCATTAGGAGACATAAAGTATTCAGGCTAGAGGAATAACTGTTCTCACTGTGTTCTGCCCTGTCAGATTTTGTGATTTTTGTGTTTAGTTCTAGATACCACAATGTAGGAATGACATTGATAAACTGAGGAGTGTTTAGTGGAGGGCAACATGGATGGCACAAGGCCTTGAGATCATGCCATAGGAGGATTTGTTGAAAGAAAGGGACTTTTGATAGCCTGGAGGACAAGTTTAATGCAAAAATAATAATTGTTTTGAGTGTTTATTTGAAGGGCTATTACATGAAAAATTTAATAGTCTTCTTGTACTTCTTGGTTTCACAAAGCATAACTAGAAGAAATGCGTAGAAATTCCCTGAGTGGTTAATTTAGACTTTATAGGAAAACCTTTGTAACAGTTAGAGCTATCCCAAAGTGAGAGGAACAATTTCTAGAGAACTTCAAGTAAAGCCTAGATGACTTTGTCTGGTAGAATATAGAGGGTACCAATTGGATGTCTTCTGAGGTTTCTTCCAGTTCTGAAATTTGAGAATTTATACCCAGTGTATTTGTTAAGAGTACTTAAAAGTGTCTGCCAAATTTCTTTTCTAAATTGAAACAAAAACAGCCTAAGTGAACACAATATTTAGGGAGGTTTGAGGATAAAAAATTAGCATTTTCATATTTATTTTTAAAATATCACCTTGCATTTTTCTCTTCTGTAGCATTTAATTTTTGAAAATTTTTGATGCATTTAGTTCACAGAATTTAGCTTACTTTGCTGACTTCCAAAAGAAAAAGATCAGGAGAGATGGATTTCTATAATGTATTGAATGTAAAAAAGACCCTTAAAAAGTACAGAGATTGCTTACTGTCCATCCATTTTATAGAGTCTTTTGTGATTGCAATTTTTGTTGAGATGAGTGATATAATAATAATTTATTAACTTAAGCGGCTTAAATTTCATGTAGAAATCAGTGTTTGTATTAATGGAGTATTATGAAACAAATTAGGAATGAAAATTATTTTTCTACAATGCCAGAGTAGAATGATTTTCACTGTATAGGGCAGCTAGTGGTGTAGTGATTATTGATGGTTTTATCTGGAGTCAGGAGGATCTGAGTTTGAATATTCTACTTTTATGACTGGGCAAATCAGCTAACATCAATCTCTTAGTCTGTTTCCTTATTTGTAAAATGAGGGAAATAGTAGCACCTATCTCATAGAATTGTTATGAGAATAAAATAAGAAGTTTTTAAAGTGCTTTGCAAACCTTAAACCTGAAAGCACTATATAAATGCTAGGTATTATCATTATCACTACGGTGCTAGGGAATACATTGTCTTTTATTTCTGAATTACATAAGTATTTTCATGCCTTTGACTCAGAACTTTTTTTTCTGCAGTGCTGCTCAATATTTGAATAATAGGAAATAGCAATACTTTGAAGGTCATCTCATCCTTAAAATGAGGAATTAATGTAATAATTATTGTAGTTGATATTAATATAGTGCATTATGGCTTGCAAACATCTTTGTGAACCTCATTTTATTTCATTAATACAACCCCATGAGGAAAGTATCTCACCTTTTTATGTTTATTTTATAAATGAGGCCCAAGGGAGCATATGGCTTACCCAGGGATTAGAATTAATAAATCTTATAGATGATATTTGAACCTAGAAATTCTTGTGAGTTGCCTCTCAATGGAGAAGACACTGAATTACCGGGGGTGGGGTGAGGAATGTAATATTGTAGGACATTAATGATAATCTCTAGAAGAGATGAATCCATTATTGAGAGGTAATGCAGTTCTATAGAAAACATGCTGAATTTGGACTCAGAGAACTTGGGTTTGAATCCTGCCTCAGTGTGACTTTGGGCAAATCACTCTCTCAGCCTCAGTTTCCTTACTGTAAGATGAAGAGGTTGGACTAGTTGTCCCTCAACTTTAAAATGGGGATAATTAAACACTTACTTTCCAGAAATGTTGTGAGTATTAAATGCGATAATATTTACAAAGCACTCAGAACAGTACCTGGCACATAGTAAGTAGGTGCTTAATAAATACTTGTTCCTTACCCCTTTCACCTTCCCTCTAAGGTCCATTCCAATTCTAAATCTATGATTCTTTGAACAGTGTTAATCTCATGGGAGGCGTATGATTTTAGAAATTAAGTTTTTATCAGGTAAAATACTTCATATTTTATCAGCTATCATCCCTACCTGTAAAAAGAACTTTTTGCTAATCACAATTATGACAGTAGCTTTTAAAAATTCTCAGTCAATATTGATATACCAGAACTAATTGTTAAGCCAAAGTATCCAATAACAGAAATTTATTACACAATTTTAATGATTATTTGCTTTGCTTTGCGTACCTTGACTTCCTTTAATTATCCATTTGAACTGTTCTAGTCCTGGGATTTTGAGGGTAGTAGTTCAAGGATTCTTGGAGATGTTCTGAGGGCAAGTCTAGAGTCACCCCACCCCCTTGTGTCCATATACTGATTCTACAGTTTTCTTTATATACTCAGAAGTTTGTGTAGAATTGTAATAATTGCAATATTTTGCATAAATATTGAGGAGAGAAGAAGAGAGAAGTTTAGTGACTTGCACAGAGTCACAGCTGATATGCGCTAGAAGTAGGACCTAAAGCAAAGGCTTCTGACTCCAAAGCCGGCTCTACTACACCGGGCTGATGCTACGTATGATAGTACATGTAAATGACATCTTTCATTAAGAATTAGTACTAAGTATAAATAGATGTTTAAAAAGATATTATAGTACATCATAGCATTTTGACAAATTTGTAAGTAATTGAAAACCTACTTTGTTTTGTTAACATTGTATAAGGAATGGTAGGATTTATTTGGGAAGGAAAAAACAATCTTTATTAATGAGTTCACAGAACTGCCAACACAACATACTGGCATCTGTGTCTAGACTTGTGTTTTTTTTTGCAGGCTGGCAGCTCCCCTGTAACTTTTTTATTTTAAAGAGTTGCCTCAAGGCTCTTGAGGCCTGGTAGACAGCCTCCTGAAATGTCAGTCCAGACACATTTTGCCTCGTTTGTTGGCCAGCTGCACAATGGAGATGAGATTATTTCCCCCTGAAGTGGGATTAGGAATATTCTTGAGAAACACCAAGCCCGTTAGTGAGTGGGGAAAAACTGATATTTCAGACCTAATTAGGAGCCCAGGGGTGCTTCCACTTGAGATTTTAAAGCCTGTGGTATTGATTTTGTTTTCACTGTAGTAAACTATCTGGAGGAGTTGAAATTTCAATGAAATAATGCGCTACTTCATAGGGAAAAAAATGAAAAGTTGCCTCGGTTGACAAGTGAATTGCCCCATGGTTGCACATTTGGTATGTGTCAAGACAGGACTCAAACCTGAATCTTTCTGACCCAAAGCTAGTCTTTTATCTATTGTCATGCCAGTTGACCATCAGGGGAGTTTTATTTCTGGGTCTCACATACCAGTTTGGGTCCATGCGTACTCTGTTTGTGTCTCAAGCAATTGGTCAGTTGATATTACAATGGAATTTGGAGGGGTTGAGATGTATCATGGTAATACTCCAAAGAGTACTGATATTGGAGGCGGAAGATTTCGGTTTGAATACCACACTTCCAAACCTTAACAGTTATGTGACACCCTAGGTAAGTCAGGTAAGCTCCCTGAGCTTCAGGTTCCTTATTTATAAAATGGAGATCATAATATTCATGTTTCTTCAGCATGGCTGTTAACAAAGTACTTTGTAAACCTTAAAGTACAATATAAATGTGAGTTACTTTTCAAAGGAACAGAGTAGGTAACAGTGTCAAATGAGGACTAATAGAGTTTAAGGGAAATACTAATTGGTTATCTTTCCGTGAATATGTATATCTAGGAGCTAACATTGAAGGGGAAGTCATCCTGATTTGTCCCTGTTCAAAAGGTAAATGAGGAATCTTAGCAGTGTAGATATTGCTTGCGTTTAGATCAACCTGGCTGACTTTAGGCTAAGGTTTGAGTGCTTCATAGGATCATGTAATTGTCATCTCTTTCAAACCTTACATTTTTACAGATTGAGGAAACTGAGGTTCATAGAGATTAAATTACCCTGATAGTAAGTAGGAAATGGCAGAGCTGAGATTTCAACCAGATCCTCTGACTCCATATCCATATTTATATGATATTGTATTTGCAGTTCCCTGTTAATATTTTCCTTCCTGTGATTAGTGTTTTCATACTCAGACACTTACTAATTGTGTGACCCTGGGCAGGTCGCTTAACTCTATTTACTTCAGTTCCTCATCTGTAAAGTGAGCTGGAGAAGGAAATGGGAAACTACTCTAGTATCTTTGCCAAGAAAACCCCAAATGGGTCATGACTTGGACGTAACTGAACAACAACAACATTAAGTATCAGTGTGAGGTAGTAGAAGGACTACTAGACCTAAGTTTCTAATGTATAAAATGCAGGTGTCCTCAAAGAAGTTTGTCTGTTAGGTTGGAACTTCAGGTGACTGAGAGGGTCAAAAATCTTATATTCTAAGAATTTCTGAAATATCAACTTGATTTATTCAGATCTATGTACATTTAAAGAACACCAAAATATACTATCCTGGAAAGTATATGCATATATGCCTTAAAGATTTGTCCTTATGCTATTAGTCATTTTAGTTAATACTATTGTTTTTATAATTTCACAGATAAGCCTCATAATCCTATGGTGAATGCTGGAGCAATTGTTGTAACTTCGTTAATAAAGGTAAAATGTTGACGTTTCTTTTTCCTTCTTTATTTGTTCTCATTATTTTCAGTGATTATAGTTTATTAAAAAAGAATCCTTCATTGTTTACCATAGCTGTAAAATCAAATAGTCTGTAATTTTTGCTTTGACATTTAAAAAGTAAGTATTTAGGAGTGTTAGAGTTTTCTGTTAAAATATAAACAATACACAAATGTCAATAGGAAAATTTTTAAAGGAACCTTCTATAAAAACAGTAGTTTCCTCTTGGTTCCTTCAGAATATAATAGTAAGAGACCTAAGTTGAAATATTTTTTCCTTTAATGTTCTGACGTGTACTTTCTCTTCCATTTGGATTTTATATAGAAGGAGCAGCTTTGGATAGGGTTAAAGTTCTTTACTGTGATGTTTTGTCGTTAGTTTATATGTGACAAATAGTCTATCCGTTCCATTAATGCCAAAGTGCATCTATTTAGTAGGGTTCTCAATCTTCTCAGACTTGTAAGCTGAAATTAAAATTGTGATTGAATGTATTTCATTTGTTTCACTTTTCCATAGCTAATAGTAACAGTGCATATTCTAATTATGAACATATATTTTTTAAGCTTTAAATATAAAAAATTAAATTTTTTGAGGCATGATTTGTATAAGTACTTGTAAGCCACATCATTATTTTGGTAAAATTATTTAAAATTGATTTTCATTTATAATTGTGTATAAGTTGTTGTTTGAATTTCCATCTGTACCAAGCTACTGTCATTTAACTTTGGAACATTTTGGTCAGCACATCTGTTTGTACATCTGAAGTTAGAAATAAGTCATACCGCATTGCTATGAATGGGGTATAGAATCATTTTGCTTTGTTTACATGAAAAAATGTTTTAATATGAGTCATGCCCTACAACTTATAAAAAACCAGTTTAGTCATTTTTAGATTACCACTAGAATTATGCCCTGCTCTTCCATTTTTAATGGACTCTGCTCAGGAGGGAAAAGAACCTTTGTAAGAGATTTAGCTTTATCATACTATTCTTAATTATCATACTAAAAAAAAATGTTCATGTGACTACTCACAACTGTTAAATGATATTTTGTGTGACATAAAAATCACCTTCATGATAAAAGTCTTTAATATTTTAAATACCTGTCCAAAATGAGATTTGATCAAAAGTTGTACTAATGGTCTCTTAAAATGAGAACTATTAACCCAAGTTAGAGGTTAGAAAATTTATCATGCTAAATGATACCTTTAAGGCTTGATGACAGAACCATTAGAGACACTAACATAGTAACTTAGGGTAGAGTTTATGCATGTGATTGTTAAAAGACTTTAATTGCCAAATTACTTTTATTTAATGATTTTTGGGTTTTCTTTTACTGCTTCGAAGCCTTGCATGTAGAAATTGCATGTTTGATTATCATATTACACTATCATTTCATTACTTTTTTTTTTAGCGACACTGGACTAAGTCTGGAATCAACTAAACTATTTTTAATATGAATACTTAAAACATAAAGTAGAAATAATTACAGTTTAAAGTCTTGTAGTATAAAAAAGCCTTAATTCTACAAAGAAATTTGCTTAGCAGTTTTAAGTAGAAAATGCACCTAAAAATAAGGATTTGGACTATGATTTTTATATTCAAAGCAACTTTCTATTATGTTTTACTTAATTAGAAGTATATTACAGCAGAATAGTTAATTTGGAGGGTTATTTTAGAGAAAAATTCTTAACCTTAAAATAACTTTTTATGTTAAAATTGTGACCTAAGAATTCAGTAATATTTTCATGGTGCCTGTTTGATGAAGAATTCAAAGCTTTTACAGAAAATCTTAGCATATTATACCTGTGGGATGATCTGTTGTATAATTTCAGACTCTGTTATTTTTAAGTTGAAGTCAGAGTCATAAAACTGGAAAAACTTTTGAGGTTTTCTAAGGTCTTTTCTAATATTAAAATCCTATAATTTTAGTTGGAATCTCTCAATGTATGAGGAAACCAACGCCATCCAAATTTAAGTGCATTTAAATAGGGACCTAGTTTCTTAGGGGACAGACCTGGGCCAAGGACTGGGTCTCCTATGTTCACATTTTGCTGCATAATTATGTTTATTTTTTCTTGAAGATGAACAGCTTTGACCTAACTACCTCAATTTATATGAATATAATTTATAAAGTCGTGAATGGTCAAGGGCACCATTTCAGTGGAATTAAAAAGTATGTGGACAAATTGCTTAGGGAATTGTAATTTATTCAAATATGATAATCAGGCCCATTAATCATGATAAATGTGCTTTTTAAGGTTAATTTTTCTATGTATATAGTTTATAAGAGAATCATTTTGACACAGAATGCTTCAGTATTTTGCTGTTAGCATGACTTATGAACTAGCTCATTTTTCCACTCTTTTAGATAATATATTAAAAGAAAAGTTAAAACCTTAATTTGTGATGTCTTCTTAATTTCAGAATTTCTTATAGTGCTCTTTGCTCCATATTCCCTTATGTTACTTCAAAAATTTAAAGGTGGAGTCTTACGTATGACTCTTTAGATTACACTTTTGTAGTATTGATATTTTTTCCTTGTAGGATTGGTGGTGATCTCAGGAAATGGGGGAAGAGGCAAAGGAATTGTTCAAAAGGATTAGCAGATTGTGGAAAGAGGAGAATTTGGACAGAAGGAACCTGTTGCATATATACTTAACTACTAAGCTTATAGGAAAACTCCAATTTTTAAAAATTTAAAACAAAGCTTACATAGGTAAATACCTTTTTAAAAACAAATGTAATCTTGCACTTAAAATTCACATCATTAAGTTTTTAAAGGTGTTACAATTACTTTTCTTTTCTTGGGGGGGGTAACCATTGGTCACTATGGGCATTATCACACTTGAATGCAATCTATTTCATTTGATCTCACATGTTTTTGCCTGGTTTTAAGTGATTTGGAAAAGCAAGAGAGTTTGAAAGAAGATACTCCCATATTTGTGACAAAATTAACATTTTAAAGATATACTCATTTCCTTTTCAGTAGTAGGAAATATTTATGTCCTAGTTTGAATTTACAAGTGTAACTGTAGAAATAACTTAGTGGGGAAAGGGGCAACGGTTATCAAAGAAATTTGGAACATAGTTGTCAACTTCTCCTGCTTTTCCTGTTAAAAGTTAAAAGGGAGTTACCTAGTCTTGTTATGTCACTTTCTACTCCAGTAGTCTCAAGATTTTATTTTTATTATTTCTGATGTTTACTTATTTAAATGCTGATTTAGCTTTTTTAAAAAACAAGATACTTTCAAATTAAAAAAAAAAACATTGGAGTTTTCCTTAATTTAAAAAGACATACATACATACATATACATATATATACATATACATACATACACACACACATATATATATGTGTGTGTATATATATATAATTACAGCTTATTTTGCAGGTGCCCTTAAGCATATCACAAAAATTGAATTAGAAGTTTTGTCATGCTAGCAGTATCCTTTTAGGCTTGCTTGCGTTATCTAGTTTTAAGGTCATTTGTGGCTCCACAGCATAATTGTAAATACATTGGACTTGGTGAAGAAAGAATTATTTAGTCTGTTTCATTTTGTGCTCCTTGATATTAGTAGTTATAGATCAGGTAACAGAATTTATCAAAAAATCATTTTTCTCTTATTTTTTTCATTTCATTAGAGATAATCAGCAATAACAATGGACATATGACTTGTAATTTTCTTATTTTTGATTGTAATAGCTACTTTAACTTTCCCAGTAATCTTTGGTTTCGAGGCATTCTCAACAAGAGAGCTAAATTGATAATATGGGTATTTTAT